TTCTCTGATTGTGATTCGGCGATCGTTCATAACCATTTCTTTCACTTTTTCCACGTTTTCATCGGTTGTTGATGTGCTGGGGCGTCCGGGGCGTTCGTCATCTTCAACGTCTTCACAGCCATCTTGAAAACGCTTATACCTCTCGTAAACTCTCGTTTTACTCATAGCAGACTCACCATAGGCCTTTGTTAACATTTTACACACTTTGTTACACTTTTTTTACGCAAAATTTGATACAAATTCTTTGATCCATTTCTTTTAACAAACGAAAATCGCCGAGCTTATAAAAACACGTCTAACCTTAGCGGCTGCCACAGACAAAGTAAACAATGAATACAGCTGAAAATTTTATCATACTTGAGGGGCATGTATACCAACATAATAAAAAAAAATTTTTTACGATCGGACTCTCCAAACCCGCGAAATTTAAAAATTCCCGTTATTTTATGAACACACCTCGTATGTCTTACAGATTTCTTAGCGGTCCGCAATGTGTTAAAATGGATAAAAATATCGAACAGAGTTTGCCTCAATTGTATTGCCAACGAAATTTCTTGTGTTGAGTTGTTGAAAATGTTGAAGAAGGCCTATGGTGAGTCAGCTTTATCGAAAACACGAGCATACGAGTGGTACAAAGCATTCAAAAAAGGCCGAGAAAATTAAAGTCATGTTGACTGTTTTCTTTGACTATCGTGATGTTGTCCACTCGGAATTCCTTCCGGAGGGGCAAACAGTCAACAAACAATATTATCTGGGCGTTATGCGGCGTTTGAGAGAGAATGTTCGCCGGAAAAGGTCAGATTTGTGGAAGAACAATTATTGGATTTTGCACCACGATAATGCGCCGTCCCATACATCGATCCTTGTACGCGAATTTTTGACCAAAAACTCAACGAATGTCATCGACCAAGCACCGTATTCGCCAGATATGGCCTTGTGTGACTTTTTCCTGTTCTCCAAACTCAAGTTATCACTTTATGGAAGACATGAGTCCATTGAAACATGAGTCCGTAAAACAAAATTCGCAGAAAGAGCTGCAGGTCATACCGGAAAATGCTTATAAGAAGTATTTCGACAACTGTATTATTCGTTGGCATAATTGTATCGCAACAAATGGGACTTATTTTGAAGACGACAAAATAAATTTGGATGATTAAATCAATATTTTGTGTTTTATTGAACAATTCCCGGTATTTATTTGACAGAATGTATATTTCCACTAAAAAAAGATATTCATGTCATTCAAGAATAATTTTCATGAGTTGGGAGGAAAAACTATTGGATAGGACAAACAATATTTTCAAACTGATGAAATTCTTAGTTTAAAGATATCGTTTTTTCTATCCAATATTTTTTCTCTCAATTCATAAAAATTATTTTTGAGTAACGTGAATATAATATTTGTTGTAGAACTATATAGAATTTCTTCATGTAAGAACAAGAGTTTTATCTTCACATTAGATTATATATTTTGTTTACATATGTGAGAATAAGTCTTGAATTGATACTATTATCATTTTTTTTCCGTGAGGTAACATGCAAATGCAAATTACATAATTGCGAAATAGGCGAAAAATTTCGTCGAGTCGATTGGGATTCTGAGATTGAATTGAAGTCGATCGGATGTGACTCGGTTAGGAACATCATCTCTCTCTGATTGAATTAGTGATTACTTATTGATTTTAATTTCGGCTTTTCGTTCATTTGGTGGAATTTATCGCGATACGACATGGCAATAAAGTTCCCCAATTTCCGGAGGAAACTTAATAACGGCCATTTTTCAAGAACATCACGGTGACTACGACGATTTATCTCGCAGCATCGAACATTAATTGCATACCAGCCACTGTCTGGTTTAATAATTGCATAAAAAGAATATACATTTCGAATTAATGACGTAATAAGCAGCGAAATCGCGTGAGGAAAATACGAGAGATAAGAAACTAAAATGACGCAGAAAAAAACAAGTACTGCACTTCTTTGCATTTCTCACTCTTTTACGGAGTCTTTTATTGTTTATTGCTATTTTCTCTTGTCATTTTGTTTAATTTGACATAACGTTAAATTAAATAGTTAAGTTATATCGCGATATGAATAAATATTATGTGAGACAGCGGTATAGCAATATCCATGGATCGCGCGTTATTTTTCCATGATCAGTCCGCGATAATATTCTTTGTAGATCTGCTTACGAACCGCGTAATCACTCGAATTACTTGGAACGAGACAAATGCGGGATATGATAACGGCTTTACAATCAGGACCTGCCATTGTCTTCTCCGAAGTTTACTTGAATTAGCGTTATTTCGCGGTAGTACGTAGCGAGGAGACTGCTCGTTCGTTGATTTCCTTAAACGTGCGCGACTTACTCGCGTAACAAGTCCATTACGTAACGATTAATTTAATGCATTAATGTGTAGTATTATTACATCGGCGTGATGGCAGATGATGGGTTGTTTTTTTCCTTCGCATAATCGCATAATTACATAAAGATGTTCGAAAATGCAAACCGGTACGCACAGATTGTACATTTTGGGAAAAAATGCAACATTTCATAAATTATATATTAAGAAAAATATTTGATATATTTGCAACTATATATATATATATATATAAATATTGTGACGATGCGGCGCTCCAACGACTGCTCTGCGCGTCACAAAACACAAAATTATAGCCGCGAACGGGGACATCGGAAAGCATCGCCTATCAAACTCACGGAGGCCCAAATTAGCGACTTAATGTTAAAGCTCTATTTTTTGTAATCGCCTCACCGGGCATACGGAAGGCGATAGCTTTAGATGGACCACGCCGAGGACTGCCGACGAGGGAAAACGGGACAGGTTTCGTCCAGACCACGAGGCCCGGGAGGAAATAGCGAATCCGGCGCACAGTAGCGAGCGCGAGATAGCACTCGGATTGGCCATGCGGGAACATCGCCGTGCGCGTCGTCTGGTGCCCGTGGAAGAACACGTGCGTGTCAACCGGTATCCGAAAGGCGAGGAAGCCGTAACGGACAGACGAGATACGCCGAAGGATATCGCCGAGGACCCAAGAGGCAAACGGTCCTCGAGGAAGAAGAACATACGAGTGGCGTAAAATAGCGTATGCTATTCGCCCGATTGTGTTTCATGAGCGCCGCGACTTGCGAACTCCTGTCGCGCGCTAATTGGTCCGCGCCTCCCGCGTGTTGCGTAAGAAGGGGGATCGCGGTTAATGAAGGATCGATCGACGATCCTTCGGGGCCTTTTACGTCTCGACCGTCGCCCGACTACAACGGGACTTTTGCGTCTCGACCGTCGTCCCGACTACTACGAGCTTTTTTGCGTCTCAACCGTCGCCTTAACTACCACGGACCTCTTGCGTCTTGACTGTCGCCCCGACTACCACGGGCTTTTTGCGTCTCGACCGTCGCACCGACTACCACGGGCCTTTTGCGTTTCGACCGTCACCCTGACTACCACGGGCCCTTTTGCGTCTTGACCGTCGCCCCGACTACTACGGGCCTCTTGCGTCTCGACTGTCGCTACGACCATCACGGCTGTCGATTCCGGGGTTCCGAGCTACCGCTTCCAAGGCTGCTGAGCAGATCGTCGCGAGAGGCGATTTACGGGAAAGACGGAGTTGCTTGGTGAGGTTGCCCTTTTCGATTTGAGAGCCACGAACTCGCGTCAGAGCCGAATCACGTTGCACGAGGTCAATCGTTTCGGCACTTTAGTGTCTTGTAAATTCTGTCACGTTGGGTGTGTCGAGCGATCTGAGTCCGACGAGCGACGGGATTTCGTGGTTGCGCCATCGTAGGCTTGGGAAAATTTCAAACTTGCATAAGGAACAGCCCTTGAGAGATCGAACGGCGAGACGGATTAGCCATTTGTGTCGTCCTTAGCGTAGCGTTATTTTTGCGCTTCTATAACGTTTTCGTTCGCGTTCAGGTCACGTCTTCTTAGCGTGTCCGTTGCGTTTGTGTAGCGTTTTCTTTCGCGGTTGTATAGCGTTTTCTCGTGTTCGTGTTGCGTTTCCGTCACGTTTCTTTAGCGTTTTTTCGCGTTGGTATTGCATCTTTGTAGCGTCATTTTTGCGTTTGTTTAGCGTTTTTTTCGCGTCGGTATTGCGTCGTAGGATGCACAAGATTCGAATCTCAGGACGGGGCAGCGTATAGCGGGTCTCCGTCGGTAGCATTTGACTGCATCACCTACGTATCGCAACTTAGGCTTTCTTTTCCACGTGTACCTAGCAACCTTTGGTCGCAGGTACTCGGAATTTTTCGCGTGTAAATCGCGGAAAAACTTTGGTTTTCCACTCGCATTTATCTAGCGCACTGGACACAAATAAGTTGCGTTAGGAGTTTTGGGTTCTTGTTCGCGAGTCAGGGAATCGCGAGCGAAATATTCTCGCGCCCGGCTCGAGACGTTTCTTCGCCGGCTGAGCACACTTTGTCTAATCGCGTTCAGTCGCGTCTTTCGCGTACTTTTGGTCCAACGTTTTCGCGTATCGTCATGCTAAGTTGTATATCCTTTTTCGGTTGCGAATTTCGAGTCGGCCAAGATTGGCGCTCGAAAGTTAGCGTGTAGAGACTCGCGTTCGACGGCACGCCAGTCGTTCGACCTTGTTAGGTTGCCGCGAGTTTAAACCATGAGGTATCGCGCACGTCTCGATTGTCGCGTGCGTAACGTATTATTGTGTTATCATGAGAGCGACCGTCGCTACGACGTTCCTCGAAAGTTAAAGCAGCGTCCTTAGCGTAATTGGCCTTTAGATAGCGTTGGCATTTTCGACATTAGTCGACGAACTTATGTAAATTTTCCTGTGAGAACGACTGCTCGAGCGGCGTTCCCCCGACGATCTCGCGTTGACATACTATTGAATTTTCTTTGATTAATTTTCTTTTATTGTTAACAACATTAGCGTGTTTAATAAATGTTACTTTTCTTTTGTCCTCGTGAACATGTCGCGTATTCTTACGGCCTTTGCCGTAAGTGTTATCGTATCTGTTTTCCCAGCTCGAGTCCGTACGACCCGTCGTCCGTAAAACTTTTGACCTCGCTCCTCTCCGTTCAGCTTGTTGAGCTAGTTGTGCTCACCGCGAAACGAGATTGAGGAAACCTTCCCCCCGAGCGTTTGGAATTTTGGTGATGCTCACAGCGTCTGGCGTCCAACTCTCGGTTTTTCGATTCGTTTAGTCTATCGCGTAGCTCACGGGGATCTGACTTCGTTTTGCGGTGATTTGTCGCGCGAATTCCCTTGAACAGGGAATTCACCATCTGTTTGTCCCAGATGGCACCCGGTCTCATCTGTCCGCCCCTCAAGATTGTCGGGACGCGAGCCGAACGTTCGGACTCCCTTTGCCGACATGATCGCGCTAGTGGAAGCGGATGCGACGATGAGGCCGCTCCGTTCCGCGGGTTGCAAAAATTGGCCATCCACCGGAGGAGACGCCCTTATGCTGTATCCGCGGCTGCAAAACATATGTATATATATAAGGGGGAGAGAGAGAGAGAGAGAGAGAGAGAGAGAGAGAGAGAGAGAGAGAGAGAGAGTTGTAAATACATCAAATATTTTTCTCAACACACACACACACACACATGCACGGTGTCCCAGCATAAGAAGAATACCTAAGAATCTCCTTTATTTTTAATGATATAAGAAATATTTAGAGCACAATTTGAATGATTTTGAGAGAGGAATACCGTGAAAGGAAAAATTTTTTAAAATCATTTTGTTCGATTTCCCAAATAAAGTCTCTATATTTAAATTCCCAAGATATTTAGGTGTCCTCTTTATGCTGAGACACCTTGTATCATAGTATAAAAATTATTTATCACAATAAAAGAATTATAGTCAGGAGAACTGTTTTTCTAGTGTTACTATAGTGCTACTATACACTAAATGTTACTATACACACACGTAAATGTAAAGTGTTACTATACAATGAAAAATTTGATGTTATTTTAACATGGGAAATGTTTTAAAAAGTACATAAATATGTGTCAACATATCCTGATAAAATGAACGTGTTAATTGAACATTATATTTGTATACTTTTTAAACACATTTTCCATGTTAAAGTAACATGATAAATTTCCAGTGAGCCGTTTCTAACACAACATTTTTTACTATATAGTGTCAATGATAATAACTTTATATGCATACTACTACTATTATCTTTATGGTTAAAATAAAAAAAAAAAGACTATAGTTGAAGCTGAAATAAATATATAATAAATAATTTAAATAAATGATTTCTCTCAGTGTGTACGCTTCTCAAAAGATTTCCTGGGTAATATTTCCTCGATAAAACTTCGTGACTTGCGGGCTGAAATATTCGTCATACGATTAGTGTATTGTCGCGCGGTTTCTACGGTGGAATCGTGGAACTGAAAAAGTTCGAGCGAGACTGAGATGTGAGCGGTGAATTAAGAAACGACGGAGCACTATAGATAAATCAGCGTCGCAGCGGTCATGCCAATATCAAGGATTCGTCGTGAGCGATGAAAGAATACGGCACATGTTACGACGGAATAATAGAAATCAATTATGTTTGACCGTGAATAAAGTATACGTTATGTCACGATAGAATTTCCAAAATATATACATATAAAGTACGATGACACATCTGTCGGATTAATTTCAGGAGGGAGGGGAGGAGGGGGATTAAGCGCGCGGAGAATATGAAATTTGTCACACCACGCAGAAAAAAAAGTGCTAAAGTCAAGTAAACGTTATTTACCTGTTTCTCAGCCTCTTAAATGAAGTAATATTTTTATTAATTTTTATCAAGTATATTTTAATATAATAAATACTCACTTGGACGTAGTATTGCCATAATTTGTAAATAAATTACTGAATATAAGTGTAAAATAATTCTAAATTTAAGGGAATATATTAGAATAATATATTAGAATCATGTAACTTTTTTCCATTGAAGGAACCTAGTAATTTTTAATTTAGATTATTCTGTGTCTAGTAGATATTTTTTAAAAATAAATGTTGATATTCTCAATATTATAAATTTAATATTAGTTGAAATTGTTTTACATATACACATATAACACATACAAGTAAATGTCTACTTATACGAAGGAAATATCTTATTATGTATAGTAATTATATGTTTACATCTAGTGAATATTTGCCAAGGAGCAACCATTTTACTTGGATTAAGAAAATATTACTTAAATGGTAAAATCTATTTTTTTCAGTGTAAGCGGTTGAGAAAACTCGCATAAATTTTCGAAAGCGACCATATGTAATAATATTAACATTATCTCGCGGGAAAAGAAAAATAGATAGAAATTAATGCGACGTCATTACGGAAGCTATGTATTTTATGATAAACAAATAAACGTTCCGAGAGGAATTGCATTTTCCTGCTACGCGCCCGATTATTTCCTGAAATATTTTTGCAACGCGCGCGTAGGTCAATGCGATGTTATCACATCGCGTTATTATTAATGTTGATGGCCAATATTTCCGCGATTTCTCCGGCAGGGAATATCAGCGATATATGCGACTTACATTTGTAAATAGTCCATCAAATGATTGCATCGTGCGCGCGATGTTTATGTTCGCCTCTCTCACATTGCCGATACTGGCGTTGCGCTATTAACTATAATACGATTTTTCTTAATCTAAGACTCTAGTGTCGTTTTCACGGTTCAATGAAACCCTGACGTACATACGTATTAGTGGAATTCGCTCCGAATACTTATCCGACTTCTGCCGAGCACAAAACAACATGACGGCGCGAGTGGAATGAATAATGGGAGAGAGGAATAAAGAGAACGTTAACGACGTATTGCCGCGGTCCGATCGAATGATATACCGAGCACAGCCGGAGCTTCCCAAAAATCGACAATGATACGATGCGCCGCGAAAGATACGATCGGCGAACGTATCTTCCATGTCTGCAGCCCGTATAGATAGTCATTGTTTGAAACTTATTCAAAGTGAGGTATTCGGATCTGAATCTAGACTATTTTGTTTGTACTATGTAATATATGAGACATTACATGTGTAATCGCGATTCAGCTGGAAAACTTGCATTTAACTCTAAATTCAAATCTGCGCATTTTATTTAAGACAAGTTTCAAGTGACTACACAGAGAAAAAGGTTTCTTCGGATCTAATATGCGCGCTTATTTAATTTGGGTTTGCTTAATATAAACAATATAATTTAATACACTAAATGCCATTTTATTTCAATGAAAATATTATTGTTTCATTAGCGTAAACTATGTTGTTTGATAGAAAAAACAGTATTATTTGAAGGAAATTATATATATATATATATATATATATATATAATATGTAATTTCCTTATTATTTTAAATGACGCTCTCAAATATCTCTTGAACAGTACATTTCGGAGAAAAATGTTTCATATAAAAGTTGTATGGCCTGAAGGAGGACATAAGTTGATGTCATTGGTTTGACTTTTGATAGTCCTTTGAAGGTCACATGTAGGTCACCTTCAATTTCTTAAATAGAAAATCCTACTTTTTACTACATATTCTTGTAGCTTACCTCGAGAGCTTTTCAATACACTATAATAAAATATTTTTGCATTAAGTACTTTTCGAGTTATAAGGCTTGAAAATTGCAGTACCGCTGGCATTAGCATTACCCAAGACA